TGGTTGTGAAGGTCTCGAAGTTTCTCTGTCCCCTTTTGCCCCGGCCTTCTGTCGTAGCGGTGTCGGGGTTTTTGCACGCTTGGTTGCTTCCAGTGCTGCTGCCAACTCCGCCTGCCTCTTGACCGGGGGCAGAGCCGATCCGAAGAGGGCCATCTCTTCGTCCTCCGCCGTCATTGGCGTGGGCCTGCAGGATGGTGTCTAAAAGACGCCCTTGGAGCGGTTTTCGGCTTAGTTTCCTTTGTAGGAGTGCGGGGAAGTGCCTCTCCGACTTCCTTGCGGCTCCTGGGACGATCTGCCAGTGTACATTTCCGGCCCGGACTGCCAGCCACGACCAGCCACCACAAGCACTCCACTAACTAGTACAACCAGGCTAAGCAGCCGACTCCAACCCAAGCAAGCACCCAATCGGACCCAACAGCACTCACGGATGGAATGCTGCAGGGCTAGAACTCTCTCTTTCGAAGAGCAGCGGTGGGAGAGCAGACAACGCAGCTGGGTGATGGCGGACGGGCGCGCCCGACACGGCTTTGCCTTCAGCAAATCAAAACCAACCGGAAGAGCTGCTGGTGGCTAGGGAGGTTTGGTTTTTCCGACGCAGCTCCATCTTGAGGAGACCCAGGACCCCGAACTGGACATGCGAGCAGGCGGCCAACGAGGCACGGATCGCTCGGGACCCAGACCGGGAGAATCGGAACCGGTTCTTCACTGGTGGACAAGGGGTTGAAGCTCCATCCCTTACCGAGCTTGACAGCATAGCTCAGGAAGCTGCGCTCAGCAAACTAGCCGGCTCCACCGTTCTTACGGGAATGTGGTCGCCGTGTTGGAGCAAGCACCGGATGTACCGACTTCCGAGTTGCCAACATCCGCGACCGCAGCGGGCAGAACCGACACCGATAGGGTAGATCGCTTCGAGTCCTTCCCCCCGTCTGCCAGACCCCGACATAGTTCGGAGGGGCCGGATGTGCTATCAGCTGAGGCAGCCGCCCCGTAATTCGTTTGCTCGATCACACGGTCGATAAGACGGGTGTGAAACATGCCTGTTTTTACGACCCGTAAACTGGACACCGTGTTGATCTTCGCATGTTTTTGTGTCCTAAGTTCGCAGTGCTTGTACAGCAGTCTGGATAGCACTAGCACGAATAGGATCTTGACTGAATGTGCATACTGCAGACCTCTTGAGCTCTAGCCGAAAAGTGTGCTACTTTGTAATCAGTGAGACTCCGCAAGCTGGTATCGCTTCCAGAATCGTAATGCCAGGTTTGAAGGTTTAGAATACTGTGGGGTTTTGGAGGTTGGAGTATCATCGAATATTTATGACAGTCTTTGCCTAAAACCTAATTGTCCCGATACTATAAGGACTCTTATGGGGATGTTTGTTTGTTCCTGAAGGATCGTGTGGTGCTCTCATAAGATGCAGCTGTGAGATTCCTCCTTCTGTTACGATAATATAGGAGCCTGGGTCAGTAGTAGTACTATTCCTTGTGGTTGCAGGGTGTGGCATTGTTCCTTCGCAGTGTGTGGGGAACAAGGCCGCTGCTGCTTAAAGCTGGAAGCCTGAACCCACAAAACATGAAGCCTAAGAGGTTCGAAAACGCCGTTGTGAAAGAGACTCCGAAGCAGTGCAGCAGCGAATGTGCAGCCTTTTGTCAAGCCTGGCAGAGCGGTGCGACCGCAGCGGAGAAGGGTCAAGGAGTCTTGCGTGCGTGCTTCGTGGTTCCTCGCCACACATCGCTGGGGAAGACTCCTAGGCATGGCCGCCATGCTTCGTGTTCGGCACCTTTCCGGACGTGAGCTCGTGACAGCTACTGAAGAGGAGGTTGCTGCTTTGGCCGATGCACACGGCAGTGTCATCAAAGGCATTGAGCAGCTCGTGTCCCTTCCGGTCGGGCAGCCGTGCTTTCGACTGAAGCTCCTTTGCGGAGACACCGTGCTTAGTCAAGACACCAACTTGAAGCTGCCGCTCGAGTTGCAGGTAACCGTTTGTGACTTCGTCGAGGTTGATGCAGGCGACGTTGACAGGCTGTCAAACGCAAGTCAAGAAAACGATGCTGCGTCAGTTGAGGCTTTGCTTCGGCGCCCTCAAAACCCAGACTTGGTGGATTCGCGTGGTCGGACAGCGCTGATGGCGGCCGCCGAAAGTGGGGCGCTGGAGAGCGTGCAGCTGCTCACATCCGCGTGTGTTGACCTTGACAAGACCCGTGAAGGGAGTTGTGACACAGCTGTATCTGCTGCAGCGCTGAATGGTCACCTCGATGTAGTGCGGTTCCTAGTTGAGAAGGGTGCAGACAAGGACAAGGCAGCGACAGACGGTGTAACACCTGTTTTGGTTGCAGCATACAGTGGTCACGTCCACGTCGTGCGCTTCCTGATCGAGATGGGTGCCGACAAGGACAAAGCAAACAGTAATGGCGCAACGCCTGTTTTCATCGCAAGTCAGAACGGTCACATTGATGTGTTGCGTCTGCTGATTGAGACGGGTGCCGACATGGACAAAGCAAAGACCGCTGGTGCGACGCCTGTCTACATCGCATGTGAGAGAGGTCACACTGATGTGGTGTGCTTGCTGGTTGAGAAGCGTGCCGACAAGGACGCGGCAAGGAACGACGGTGCGACACCTCTCTTCGTCGCAAGTGCACATGCTCACCTTGATGTGGTGCGTGTGCTGCTTGAGAACGGTGCCAACAAGGACAAGGCAATGCACAATGGTGCGACCCCTCTCTACATTGCAAGTCAGAATGGTCACCTTGACGTGGTGCGCCTTCTGATAGAGACTGGTGCCGACAAAGACAGGGCAAGGAACGATGGTGCGACGCCTATCTACATCGCAAGTGAGAAAGGTCACAGTGATGTAGTGCGCTTGCTTATTGAGAAGGGTGCAGTGGCAACAAGGACAAAGCCATGTACCCTTTCATGATGCTGGTCTTGGGCACAACCTCTGTTGGTGCCTTTCGTAACCAACTTGCTGACTGAGATGGGTTTGCCGACACCACGCGAAAGGAACGATGGTGCCACACTGTTTTCTTCGCAGGTCAGCATGGGGTCATCTTCGTGTAATGTGTTTTCCGTATGCCTGTGACGGTGTGGTGCGCTTGCTGATTGATAGGGGTGCCGACAAGAACTTGGCAAGCAACGATGGCGCGACACCTCTGCTCGTTGCAAGTCAGAATGGTCATGCTGACGTGGTGCGCTTGCTGAGTGAGAAGGGTGCCACAGACGCAGCAAGGAATTGTGGCCCGACAGCTCTCTACATCGCATGTCAGAGCGGAGATCTTGAGGTGGTGCGC